ATAAGCAAAAGCTTATCCAATAATTGACTAGTCCCTCAACTAGTCACTCCTCCTCCCCCCTTTTTTGCCTTTATTAGTGGCAGCAAGAGGGGAAGCAGGAGCTGGTGATGGGGGAGCCATCTTAAAAGCCAGTTCCCCCCAGCACCATCTCCATGATGGGGTAGGGGAGGCAGGCGTTAGTGAGGACTGGGCAAGAGCTAGGAATCTACTGATTCTCAGCTCGTGCTCAGTCCCAGATGCTGCACCTGGGCTTTTTAAATGTATTGAGAGACTGCTGGCTTTTAATACATTTAAAAAGCAGAAGCACAGCGGGGGCAGCAGCAAAGGAGACCCAGCATGATGCAGGACAGCTGATTCCCAGCTCACTTAGGTCCCCCTGGAGTGCTCCAGCATTTTTACATTTAAGGCTGGTGCACAGCAGGGGGGACCTGCTGCGAGCCAGGAATCAGCTGTCCCAGCTTGTCCCACACTTTTCTCCTATGCTCCAGCCTTTTAAATGTATTAAGAATCTGCCAGGACCAGGAGCTAACCCCGCTGCATCTCCCCCATTTACCAACTAATCAGTCAGTTGATGGAAAAGCCATCAACTAGTCAATTAGTTGATTAAACTAAACTTAACATCCCTATCCCAGACCAGAGCAGGATGACAGGTCTAGGGGTTACTACAAACAGTGATTAGGGACACTTTGAACAAAGAGAAAGGCCCAGACTGTTATTCTTGCTGACCCAACAAAGCACCCCGCTCCAGTCACAATCCAGGTTTTCACTGCTGCGCTTCAATTTGGTCCTGCCATGAGGGCACGGAACTGGACTCAATGACCTCTCGAGGTCCCTTCCAGTTCTAGTATTCTATGATCAATTCATGAGGGATGGGGAGTCGGGTATAAGGCATGACAATGGCACACTGAGCTTCAATAGTTCTGTTTTCACAGATGGTAAAAATTGTAAACCAAGTGTCTTAGATGTCTGTTTTAATTTCTGAAGGAATGTTTTTCATTTGGTGCTACACATTTATCCACTTTCAAAAAAGAAATGTTGCTGTGCTGGTATTTTAATCTGATAGAATGCTGTAATTTACATATGTTAATTCTCTAAAATATGTCTATGTTCTTCTTTAATTTTTCATTTTAACTTCTACATACCCCATTCAATCTGAAAGAGCAAAACAGAGATGCATGCCTGTCATGGGACCGACTCAACACCATGGTGCCTCCAGCTAGAGGGAGGCATCCAGCCAGCAGTTCTGGGAATTAGCTTGTTTGGCTGGCTGGACGCCTCCCTTTAACTGGTGTTTCTCCCGGTGTTTCTCTTTGACCAAGCCATCTTCTTCAGGACACTGCCCTCCAGCAGTGCCCACTCCAGTCTCTCTGCACCCCCTTCCGGGGGGTGTTGTTTATCCAACTGCACAATTCAGGGTCCTCCCTTCCAAAGGAACACCCAGTTTTTCTCCCAGGGAACACCCAGTTCCCCTGTAGCCACCTTGTCTCAGGGATCCACTGTCAGTCTTCATCTAGCCCCTGCCTCAGGGGCAAACTGCAGTCTGTAATGGCCGTTCATCACTGGCAAAGGGGTGTGGACCCACTGCCCCTGCCTACCATGGCTGCCTCTTGCAGCCCCAATAGCTTCAGGCCTTGCAGCCTGGGAGCTTGGTTAGCCAGAGCCTCCCCTGTCCTGTCCTGTCCTGTCCTGTCTCCAGGAAGCCTCCTACTTCCCTAGCAATCCGGTCCCTACTGCTCTGTCTCCAAAGCAGCAATCAGTTCCCCCTTACCCTGCAGGAGTCCTTCTTTATGGGCTGGGCCCTCATTTGCAGCACTGCCTCAGCTGGGGCTGCACTCTCAGCCCTCACTCAGGGCTGTGGTTTTTGCCCTTAAAGGGCCAGTGCAGGGCAAACACCCTGTCACAATGCCCAGTTATAGACACACATTATTTAGGTCCTTAGCTGGAGAAAAGAGAAGCCAGTGTCTCCTACACATTCTGTTTGGCATATATCTCCCTTTGGGGGGAAAAGATAGCAGAGACCTAACACTGTGGCTATGTCTAGACTGGCATGATTTTCTGCAAATGCTTAAAATCACTTTTGCGCAAAAGCATCCGTGGCCAATCTAGACGCGCTTTTGCGCAAAAAAGCCCCGATCGCCATTTTCCCGATCGGGGCTTTTTTGAGCAAAACAAATCTGAGCTGTCTACACTGGCCCTTTTGCACAAAAGCTTTTGCGCAAAAGGACTTTTGCCCGAACAGGAGCAGCATAGTATTTCTGCAAGACGCACTGATTTCTTACATGAGATTGTCAGTGTTCTTGCGGAAATTCAAGCGGCCAGTGTAGACAGCTGGCAAGTTTTTCCGCGGAAAAATTTGCCAGTCTAGACACAGCCTGTGGGATTAGTTACAATAATCCAGAAAGCATCAAGACCGTTATGATAAGTCTTCCCTTTGCTCTTCCATTTTTACTTTTCACTATGGCTATGTCTACACTGCGCATTGTTGTGCAAGAAGATATGCAAATGAGGTGCGGTGATTTGCATACCTAATGAATCGCCATTTTTGCATAAGGGGCTTTTGCGCAAGAAGGAGCTGTCCACACTGCTCCTTCTTGTGCAAAACCCCCCTCTTGTGCAAGAGACATTCTGCTGCTTATTTTCAGGAAGAACGGCTCCTGTGCAAGAGGAGTTTTTTGCACAAGGAGGAGCAGTATAGACAGCTCCTTTTTGCGCAAAAGCCCCTTCGGCAAAATGGCAGCTCATTGGGTATGCAAATGAGGTGCAGCAATATTCATCACTGCGCTTTATTTGCATATCTTCTTGTGCAACAATTCACAGTGTAGATATAGCCTATATCTAGCCCACAGAAACTTGCCAGGAAATGACATTCCCATACAAGACAAGTGTAACATACTTTACTTAGGAAGGAAAAAATTAGATGCACATCTACAACAGAGAATAACTGGCCAGGTGGTAGCACTGCTGAAAAAGGATCAGAGACCAATAGTGGATCAAAAATTGAATATGAGTCAATAATGTGTTACAGTTGCAAAAAAAACTAATATCATTCTGGGATGTATTAACAGGAGTGTCATATGTAAGACAGAGGAAGTAATTGTCCCACTCTACTTGACATTGGAGTGGCCTCAGTTGGAGTACTGGGTGCGATTGGGCAACACACTTCAAGAAAGAAGTGGACAAATTAGAGAGATCAGAAAGCAATAAAAATAATAAGGGTTAGAAAACCTGACATGAGGAAAGGTTAAAAGGAACTGGGCCTATTTACTCTTGAGAACAGAAAACTGAGAGGGGTATCAAATAACAGTGTCCAATATGCAGAGGCCTACTATAAAGGGGATGGGGATCAGCAATGTTCCCTCAAATCTTTTCCGTCCACATGCAGAATAAAATTTTATATTCACCAAGGCATATGCAAATGTGCACCATCAGTAGAAACAAAAAAAACCTAGCTGTGGGAGCTCTGCTAATCAGCTGGGTGGCATTAGAATCTCTCTTGAGTGGTTGCACTAGCACACAGCTTATAGGGAACACTAGTTCAGCTGTTCTCCAGGTCCACTGATGGTACAAGAAGTACTAGGTTTGATCTACAACAAGGGAGATTTTAGGTTAGATCTTGGGAAAAACTTTCTTAGAGTAGTTAAGCTATAGAATATGTTTCCAAAGGAGATTGTGGAATCCCCAGCATTGAAGGTTTTTAAGAATAGATAGCACAAGCACTTGTCAGGGATGTTCTAGACTTAACTTGGTGTGGTCTCAGCACTGGGGGCTGGACTAGATGATATCTCATGGTTCATTCCAGCCCTACATGTCCATGAGTCTATGATTTCTTTGAATGTTATTATAAGCCTCATATGCAGCATGTTCACTTCTACGAAAATCTGTGTTGGTGCCTATTTCTCTTAAGATTTCCTTTGTTGTCCCTATGCTGGTGTACAACCTCATATTCTTTACACTGTGCTGTTTCAAAGTAGAGCTCTTTGACTCTCAACTATTTATCCATTGGCAATCAATACATCTAAGAAAATGTATATATTTTAAACGTCCCTTTATTTTTTTAATCAAAGCACTGCACTCTAGTAGAGCAAGAACATTCATGCCAGGGTACAAAGTCATACACTGTTCATATATTCCACTAATGGTACAGAATTCCAAAGGGTTCTCTAATTTTGTACAATTTTTAAAAATGATTTTTAGAAACACTGCCTCAACAGTTACTCTTCACAGAAAATTTACAACTGGATAGAAAAATAGAATTCAACACCCTTGTACAATAATATGAAGATATTTAGCTACACCTTAATCTTTCTTTTAAGGACTCGTCTCCTGCAGCAAATCACAATGTAACTTAAACAATGGAACCACTAACCTGCCTCCACAGTATGAAGTATACATAGTTACAAATATAAATTTTAAAAGCTATGTTACAAAATATACAGTATGTCCTTTTTACATTATAGATAAACATTGCATAGTTTTCAAATACATAATGTAAACAACTCAGTCACATAAAGACATTTACAATATAACTCATGAAAGTGCTGTACACTAGAACAACTATAAATTAAGTGTAAATAGCAATTATTAGAGTCTAGAGATGAATGTGTTGAGATATGAGCTCTCATTTTTTATTTGTTTTCATTCCAGCCTAAAAATTAAGGCACAATGTAAGCCAAAGTATAAAGAATGAAGAAGGATAAACATGAACTGAATGTAGGTCAGAAGAATAGTTGCAACAAAGGAACCTAGAACACTGAAGAAGCTATGTCTACACAGCAAAATTATTTTGAAATAACATAGTCCGCATCTACACAACCAGCAGTTATTTCAACATAATGTCGAAATACTGTCATGCTGGAGGACTTCTTACTCCGACTCTTGTAAACCCTCATTTTGTGAGGAATAAGGGAAGTTGGAGGAAGAGTGCTCTGTTTCGAAATAAGTGCAGTGCAGACATCACCAAAACTCAAAATAAGCTATTTCAAAATAAGCTACACAATTGACATAGCTCAATTTGACATGCTCAATTTGCATAGTTTATTTCGAGTTAAGTTCTGCTGTGTAGACATGCCCTGATATGCCTAAACATAATTCCTTCAGTACCTTTGTAGCAACTGCTTTCCCTAACTTACCCTGATGTTTTGTTAGAGGGCTTGTTTAAACCTTTATTGAAAACTAGAAAACAAATAGCCACCCTGTTAACTGAATAAGGGGAAGAAGGAAACTTCTATTTTAAAGTTAGTCAATGAAAAATATGACAGCATTTCACAAGAACATCCAGATATTATTTAATGAGTCTCAAAGCTGAGAGTAGGAAATGCAAACCAGCAATATAAAGCCATGTGAGGGCACATTAGAAATGTGAGAGGCAGACTAAAGATCTTGTACATATGAGAAGAGTTGTTCAAAAACAACAAAGTTAAACATTAACATCAAGTAAACAGAAAGAGGAATAGGCTAAAAAGGATGGCTGGCTGTAATTCTGAGCTCTCTTATTGACATCGAGAATAGTGATAGAGATGCAGCCGTGTTAGTCTGGTCTAGCTGAAACAAAACACAGAACTATGTAGCACTTTAAAGATTAACAAGATGGTGTATTAGGTGAGGAGCTTTCGTGGGCCAGACCCACTTCCTCAGATCAAGTGGAGCAGAGTTAGGCCTACAGTGAGTCTTTTTGAAAATCCCATCTGGGCTAACAGATACAAACTGAAACCATGCTTAGCATCTTGTCATTGGCTCTCAGTAACAGAAAAAATGAAAAACTCAGTCTGAATAAAATTTAATATAATATGAAAAATGAGACTTTACACAGCTTATAAGCATGTCAATTTAAACTTTTCTCCCCCAAAATGTACATATTTACATTATAACTGAGTTCTGCCTATTAAATTACATAACATTAAGACAATAACAAACTTGTTCAGCAGTAAATCTATTTTAGCAGCAATGAGTAGCTATGCTACACTGAAGGGTCTTGTCAGTATTTCCATTATAAGTCTCTTCTATAACTCAGTTATAGACACTAAAAATTAGCATAGTTTTACACCCCTCACAATTGTCAACTTTCATACATTCCAGTCCTCACCCACTACCTCTCCCATGATTTGGTCATTTTTAAATTACATAAAGCCAACAAAAGTGCACTATGTTTTGAAGAGTTTGAAGCATTCAGAAATGGCTCAGTCTGAAATGCTGAAATTTGTCAGTCCGTGATGTGGACTAGTCTATATGGGCACTTATTAAAACATTAACACCAACACAGAGTGAGGACAAGGGGCTTCCCAGCATGTGCTGTATGATTACTTTACCTATGGGTTTTTATTAGAGATTTGGATTCCAAAGATGCACACATATAATACTGATGGTATAAATTCACTCCAGACATTATGCTAATTTCAACTAAGTAGGCCATGCTGTGAGTGGCACAGTTAACACACATTTTCTCTACAGTAGGTATTAACAGACTTATTTTAAAAGGTGTGATCTTATCATAAACCTTGCAGTAGACATAATGCTGAATCTCAAATCTCCTTGCTTTTATTGCTTGAATAACAAACTTTTCTGCTATTTTGAAAGGCTATTTTGTGGTTTAGCAGAGTTTCCTGCAAGCTCTTCAGTAGGAAGCCAATCCATAACCAATTCACACTTTGAAAAGGCAAGTGCACCAGTAATTTAAAATATTTAAATTTTAGCCTTCAGCTAGAAGTCACAAAATACAGCAACCAAGCTTTCTAACATTACAGGAAATGAATACAGGAAATGAATACATGAAAACATTTTCATTCTTCTGGTTTTTTTTTTATTCTTCCAGAAACTTTGTGATTTCATAAGCTGAGTTTGGTTTAATATCCCTGAAATTCAGGAAGAATGTTCTGCACATTACAGAGTGGATTTTTTTAAAGTCCATATGTCTCTCAACTCATTGGAGCCTTTCTGTTAATCAGACAGTATATCAACATTTATTTGTTTGGTACCGTTGGCCTTGAATTCATGTTCATCCTTAGCTTTTTACTTGATCTTAGACTTTCTGGGAACCCTGTAAAATTTGTTCTGCTGCATTCCTGGATGAGTAGTATACTGCTGGATACAAGAACCTGAGTTTTTATTCATTCCTCAGTGTACTGCCCAAGTTGATTTTCAAGAAATTGATTGTCTTATACTGTATCTTTGCTACTACAGAATGATCCCCTACTAGAAGGCTGTGTTGTCGGAGAAGGTTTTCTCAGAATCACCTGCCAGTTGTGTCTTTTTAATACCATTTTCTTCATCAGACAATTCAACTCTGTTCTCATAAACTTCCATAGCCTTTTCCTGCTTGTCTTTCATCACAACATCTTCGGTGTTGACTTTGCAGCATTTGCAGCACTTGTTGCAGAAGAAGTATCTCCCACAAAAGGAGAGTACAGAAGTTACTACGTTATCCCATGGCTTCAAGGAGTGCATCCACCTGGGAAGGAAATCCCAGTTTTGGAGCTTTGCAGGCAATATATTTGGCCGTTTGGACTGCAGAACGTTAATCACAATCACTGCAATCAACACGAGTAGGATGGGACCACAAACTCCCAGGAGGACCTGCCAGCCAGCTACTGACAAACCAAACACAGCCAATGGGATCAGGAAAAAGCAAATGATCAGATAAAAAATAGCAAACCATCTGTACTTGGCTGTTATGTTCCCCAAGCTCTTTGCAAGGCGGATTGGTACCCGGGTGAAAGGTATCGGGTACCACAGAATAATTCCAGAAATATTGAAAAAAAAGTGACACAAAGCAATCTGAAATCAAGAACATTTTGAGCAGTTAGTTAGAGTGCCTTTAAATACTGTGTCCTAAATATCAAAAAACCTGCAATCTTCCTCATAAATCTGCATTCTGCCTTCCCTTACTCCCCTCTTACTCTGTTGTCACACTTAGGATTACATTTAGTTTATAAGATTTTGTCTGTGTTCTGGGAAGCACTGTGAACACTTTGGGTACTACATAATTAATAATAATGAATCAGTTTAATGTTTAGAAAATATGCAGACATCTGTGTATTTTTGATGTGGCAGCAAATAAGACAACTAAGTTACTTGGTCTAAGAATCTGATTCCTTATTCTCACACTAGCAATATTCTGGGTGAAACCAAGGAACCTACATCAGGAGTATGGGGTCAGGTCAGTAAAACTGTACAGTGGTCAGCACATCCACATGCTCAGTGAGACACGGATCGATCGACAGGGGAAGCCTTTGTCGACCTCTCCGATATGCCTTGTGAAACAAGGTTTACCAGAGCGGTCGACAAAGGCTTCCCTTGTCAACCGCACTGCATCTAGACTGCCACGCTGTGCCGGATCAGCTGATTGTTGGCACAGTGCGGCAACCATTTTTATGTTAATGAAGTAGGGATTATTTAAATCCCCGCTTCATTGACTATGTCTAGTAAACTACTTTACATGGCTCGGTTGACAGCCATGTAGTCTAGACACACCCTATGGCTACATCTAGACTGGCATGAATTTCTGAAAATGCTTTTCACAGAAAAGTTTTCCATTCAAAGCATTTTCAGAAAAGCACGTCTAGATTGGCAGGATGCTTTTCCACAAAAGCACTTTTTGCGGAAAAGCGTCCGTGGCCAATCTAGACGTGGTTTTCCGCAAAAAAGCCCCGATCGCCATTTTCGCTTTTTTTCAGAAAACAGTACTGTGCTGTCTACACTGGCCCTTTCACGCAAAAGTCTTTCGGAAAAAGACTTTTGCCCGAACGGGAGCAGCATAGTATTTCTGGGAAAGTACTGATGATTTTACAGGAGCTCGTCAGTGCTTTTCCGGAAATTCAAGCGGCCAGTGTAGACAGCTGGCAAGTTTTTCCGCAAAATCAAATGATTTTGCGGAAAAACTTGCCAGTCTAGACAAAGCCTATGTGTCTATGCTGCACTGCTATAGCAACACAGCTGATCTAGCAGCTTGAGTGTAGGCATGGCCTAGATGATCTGGTGGCTTCAAACCCTATGATCCTTCTGGCTTCAAACCCTATGACCAGCTTTCTAAAGCCTCAAGAAGGAGCTTGAGCAAAATAAGCCCAGTATCTGCCGGCCAACTCTGTAGTTCTCTTGCCCTTATCTCATTTCCCTTCTGTAATTGTTACTTGATTAAAGCTAAAATTTAAAAACATGGTTTTGTTTTTTACAGGATGTTATAAAATGACTATTTAACATAAGATCTGCTCAGCTGGACTTAGCCCAGCTTGAGATTGCACCTGCTTTATCTTGTGTAGAGGCAATAAAATGACTACTGTAGTTATTTCCCTGTTTTACATATATGCCAATTAACCATTCAGTTTATCAGAACTATTGAAATGCATTGATGCTGGTTACAGAGAAGACTTCATTACTGTTTTCCCCCTTGATCATAAATTCATCACCATGTACCTGAAAGTTATTTGCCATTTTTAAAACATGGATTCCCTAATCTAGGCTCCTAAAATCAGCAGCTTGCTTTTCACAAGGGCTGAGCCAATACTAGCGTCAATGGGAGGTACTTTATGTTCTGTGTTAAAACAGATCATTAGGTTAGGTGTCTACATTCTGACTTCTGAGCCTCACTTTAGACTCTTGTTTCAGAAAATTTTACCCCATAACAATATCAAGCCAATCTCAGGAAAGCCAAAGTCTTCATTATACAACAGAAATCTGTGAACATTTAATGTATCGTTTTGCTCTGGCCTAAGTATTTGAGATTGATGAATGACCCTTAATTACCTGAAAACCTCAGGTTTGAAAGGACATATGGGATATTTGTATACAAGAATCATTCACCCGAAATCCTCCTTACTCATTAATGTACTATGGCAAAGTTCCTCAGTCTGTAAATAATAATAAGCATGATTTATACTAACCTGTAATGAATATTTTAATGTACTGCCTGGACTTGCTAAAGCAGCAAGTATAGCAGTCGTGGTCGTACCAATGTTAGACCCTAATGTAAGAGGGTAAGCACGTTCGATGCTTATAACACCAATACCTAGAAGAAGAAAATAGGACTGAATATTTGGACTGAAAAATACAAAATAGGAGGCTTTAAAAATAAAAGACCAAAGAACTTACCAACCAGTGGTGTAATAGCAGATGTGAAAACAGAGCTGCTTTGAACAATAAAGGTCATGCCAGCTCCAACAAGCATAGCCAGGTATCCAGTTATCCAAGAAAAAGGATATGGGAAATCTGAAAAATAAAGAAGGGAGGGCATGCTTTTTAGAGTTGCACAATATTTTATGCTGTATGTAATGCAGCTGTGAAAATATTATTATATTATTTAGTCAATGTGAAAGCTATTTTGGGGCAAAGACCCTTTTTTGTCCTGTGTTTGTACAGCACCTAGGAAAGCAAGGGCCTAGTCTTTGATTGGGCTCTTAGGTACTACCACAATGCACATAATAATAAAAGCATGTCCATGGAGATGAATGCTAGAATATATAGGTGTTTTTCAAGTTATAAGCTGAAACAACAAGGCCTAAGGTTTCCAAATTTCAGTTGCCTCAATTTTGGCACCTTCAGACACCTTCAGCCAGGGTTTTCAAAAACCCTTGATAACTCATCCTGTGAAAAATTAGGTCTCTTTAATGTGTCTGAAGTTGGGCATCCCAAAATTGCTTATAACTTTTGAAAATATAGACCTAAATATCCTAATTAGAGTAGGGATGTTAAAATTAGGTTAATTTACTAATCTACAGAATTTTTATTGACTACTTATTAGTTGATAGAGGAAGGCAAGTGGCTCAGTCCTGGCTCTTGCCAGGACCAAACCCTGCTGTGGCTCTGCAATTTAAAAGGCAGTAGGAGCCAGGCAGTTTCCCCCTGGCTCCAAGTACATTTTAAATTGCAGAGCTACAGTGTGGTTTGGTCCAGAACCCAGTGCGAGCAGGGGCTGAGCTGGGCTGCCTGCCTTAATGTGGTAGGAGCTGGGCAGGCAGGCAGCCCAGCTCAGTCCCTGCTCACACTGGATCCAGGACCAAACCCTGCTGTGGCTTTGCAATTTAAAATGTAGTAGGAGCCAGGGGAGGAGGGGAGACTGTCCAACTTCTGCTGCCTTTTAAATTGTAGAGCCTCAGTGGAGTTTGGTCCCATCACAAAAAAGGACTGAGCTGGGCTGCCTGCCCAGCTGGCAGAAGACCCCATTCATGGGGGGAAGCCTCTGTCCCCAACGAGCCTTGGCCCACCATGGGCAGAGGCTGCTTAGTGGCATCCTCCCCTGGTGCCTCCCCCCCCTCCCCCCCCACACTACTGCCTCTGATTGAGGTAGCAGCAAGAGGGGGGAGCAGGCAGCACTGCAGAGATGTGCTAGAGGGCTCTGCTTTTAAGCTAGCTCTCTCCAGCTCCGGCTCCTGCTTCTCCCCACCACTCCTTGCTGCCTCTGAAACAGAGGCAGCAAGGAGAGGGGTGGATGCAAGTAGTCAATTCGACTACCTGATCATCCTAAAATCCCCTTGCTTAGAATCCCTAAATTAGAGAGATTATGTGCCATGTTTCCCTGAAGCCTGGAGCATTGCCAATCAGGGTATAATCTGTTGGGAAGATGAAATAAGAAACCCAGGAAACTGATAGGTTCCAAACTAGATGTAAAGGTGACTATTTTTTTCTGAGCCTCTGGTGTCCTGTGCCCCAGAGGAAGGAATGGCCAGTAGCAAGTCCTGTTTGTTTAACTTTCTCCCCATGCAGAGCGCCATTACTGTCTGGGCTGCATCCCACTGCCAAAAGCCCCCCAATAGCAATCTAGGAAGCAAAACGTGAGAGTGGCAAAAGCTACACCTTGGCAAATGTCCTAGCTTAAAGTGACTCTGCTAGAAAAGCAGCTGGCTCTTTAATGAGATAGGTGGTCATAGAGATTGAACCTGGCTGCTCAGTCAAGTGAGAGGCTGCTTCTTTTGGCTGCGATATCTTAGCAAGGGTTAGAGAGGTATAGCCAGGCAAGGGAATGAATGGTAGTAAGTGGGGAGGGAAGGGAAATCACCAAAAATGTCCTTTTTTTAGCTAGTTCTAACAGTAAGATGAGGTACAGGTCCCATGCCAAAGCAAGTAGTCAGCGGGTCAGTGATAGCTACTGAGAAGATAGATAGATAGATAGATGAGGTCAGACTGGAGGGCTAGATAAGAAGGGGAGAGAAGCAACTCTAAAAAAAAGCAGAAAACTCTCTCCTAATTAACCACAGCCTAATTCAGGGCAGCCAGGAACAGCTAACTCAGAATTATCAAGGGCAGGACTGCTATAAATCATGTGAGGGCCATCTGATTTCATTTGAGGCTGTAATGGGACTGTTTTAAAAGCCTCAACTGTAGGGAATGGAACTTGTAATCACTAAAGAGAGTGAGAGAAGCTGAGAAAGACAATACCAGCATTGCCAGAGACCACAGGGGAAGGTGAGGGGCTCTGACAGGGAGCATTTGGGTTCCTCTCCCCAAGTAGCCTGAGACTCCAGCTGGTAGCTGGAGAGGCCAGGTTGTCCAGCCCAGGCTGACCAAGGGGCATCTGCCCCACTGTTTTAGCTGGAGAACAGAAGCTCAATCCCAAAAGGGCAGGTGGGGCCTGGTCTGCAATATCTACCCTGTGGGATAGTGGATTGACAAGTGGTCTGGGACCCAGGAGTGGGGACCAACCCTAACACACATGATATTAAGAGTGGGATCGATACACTGCCTTGAGACTTTGCAGTGGACCCTCATAGGGCAGGCTAAGCTGCCCTGGCAGAAGGGTAGAAAAACAAGATGGAGGACATGGTGAAGGCATTCATACAAACCACCACAGTGCAGCAGGAAGCTACCAGGGTTCAGCTGTCCACCCAGAAAGTAACCAGCTGCTGATGAGCCCGGCTGCCTAGGACCAGGCCATCTTGCAGGAGTGATAATGTAGCTGAAGGCTCTGACCACCCAAGTGCATGGCCAAGATGGAACTCAGTATCTGCAGGCCAGTAGTTACCTCCAGAAGATGACAGGGGAGGACAATGTGGAGGCATACCTCCTGGCTTTTCAGAGGACAGCTCTGAGGGAAGGCTGGCCCCAAACCCTGTGGGCCAGCATTCTGGCTCCATTTCTGTGTGGTGAGGCCTAAAAGGCCTATTTCAATATGTGGAAAGAAGTGGCTGCTGAATACCCCCACTGAAGGAAAAGATCTTAGCCAGGTCTGGAGTGACAACTTCAGTCAGAGCCCAGAGGTTCCACAAGTGGAGGTACTGGGAGGGCCGAACACCAAGGTCACCTGATCCACGTGGCCCAAGACCCACGTCCCAGAGAAGATCATGGAAATCATTGTCCTGGACCGCAGGAGGGGCCAGCCACCCAACCTGTGAGTATGGGTCAGCCAGAATGACCCTTCTTCATATGATGAGATGTAGCCTTCGTAGAGAGACAATTGACAGCTAAAGGTCTCTCACGATCCCTTGGGGAAGAAATCTGGAGGAGTAAGAGAGCCGCCCACACTCCAAGGGCCCACGTCCCCAAAACTTCTCATAGAACTTGGCAGGGGAGGAAGGAGATGGAAGAGCAGCCAGAGGCCATGAAGGGACTTGAGGACTGGGGGAAGGAAGGCCAGGGGGTAAGACCCAGTAGCCCAAGAAATACAGGTATGCCCTACACCAGGTATTGATGCTACACATGTGGGGAGCTAGGACATATAGTGGCACAATGTCCGACTGTGGAAGAACCCATGCTGTGTGACCTTGAGCACCTGAGAGCCCCCTGTGGCCTGATCAACCTGGTAGGTGTAGCAACAGCCCCTCCCCACCCTACATCAGTATACCTGGCCTGTTAAAATGAGCAGCAAAGAAACCATGGCATTGGTGGACTCTGGGAGTTCCGTCATGTTGGTCTCAGGGCAGCTGATGGGGCAGGGCCAGTAGTCCTGTGCCAAGCACACAGGGATATCTTATGTGCATGGAGATGTCAGCTATTACCCTGTCGTCCCCCTGCAGACAGAAATGCAGGGGAGCTTCACAAGGGTGGCAGTGGGGGTGGTTCCAAGGATCCCATATCCAGTCGTGATTAGGCGGGACTTCCCCAGGTTTAGCGACTTACTTCCTAGGGATGAGGGGAGTGCAGAGAGCCCACTCCTGGTCATCCACAAGTTTTCCCAGGACCTGTTCACTGAGCCTGGGAATCCCTGGAAGATGAGGTGGGAGTGGAGGACAGCCAAGAAACTGGGCGCATGATTCCTGGCCCAGAACTTAAGACAGTCCCTGGCTGCAGGAGCAGGCTGAGCCAACCAATAGAGGGGTGGCACAGGAGGTAGGTAATCCCAAGGTTGGACCCAGACCCAGCTTAGCAGGGCCCCCTGGGACAAAGAGGCTGAAGGCCCCCCTGAGCTCAGGCAGAGTCCTCCCTCAGAAATTTTGGGCAGGACCAGGCCAATGACCCAATATATCAAAATAAACACAGGGAGGTAGCTGAGGAAAATGGTGTCCCAGTAGAAGGAAGGACCAAGAGCCCTAAGCCGTATTACATCATCAAGGGGGATCTGCTATTCCAAGTAATGCCAGGCCAGGAACCAGTAGTGGAATAACTCCTGGTGTCCTAGAAACACTGGAGAGCCATGCTGGACCTGGCCCACAGATATATTTTGGGGGACACTTAGGAGTTGAGAAACCCTGGACCGGATCTTACAAAGGTTCTATTGGCCTGGGGTGTACATGGAAGTTCAGTGGTATTGCACCGCCTGCCCTGAGTGCCAGCTCCATGGGCCTTGGCAACACATGAGAGCCCCACTAGTGCCCCTGTCTATTATTGAGGTCCCCTTTGAGTGCATCAGTATGGACCAAGTTGGCCCACCGGAGAAATCAGCTCAAGGGCACTGGAGCATATCAATAGTGCTAGATTATGCCACCCAATATCCGAAGGCCATGCCCTTGCAGAATATACATTCAAAGACCATAGCGAGGGAGTTAGTCCAGATCTTCCCGAGGGTAGAGATACCCAAGGAGATCTTGACAAATCAGGGCATTCCCTTTGTCTCAAAACTGATGAAGGATTTGCGCACGCTGCTCCACATATGGGCCCTGAGGACATGAGTCTACCCCACACACACACGTAACAGCTAATGATTATACAAGACACCAAAAACAGAGTCTGGACTTTGGTTTCTACAGCTTAATCAGCCACACTTCAGAGGTGAAACATTCACTCACTGATTTATAAAAAGAAATTAAAGAAACACATTGAGAAGATAATGAGTAGTCCTGTGGCACCTTGGAGACTAACAAAAATATATAGAATCATGAGCTTTTGTGGATAAACGCCCCCTTCATCAGATGAGTTGGAGTTTGATGAAGTTGGGTTTACACACAAAAGCACATGATCCTATATATTTTTGTTAGTCTCTAAGAGTATGTCTACACTAGCCCCCTCGTTCGAACTAGGGAGGCTAAGGTAGGCATTCGAAGTTGCAAATCAAGCCCGGGATTTAAATATCCCATGCTTGATTTGCATCTTCCTTGCCGGGCGCCATTTTTTAAATTTACAAGTCCGGACTAACTGCCTGCATCTATATGTGGCAGGGACCTGGTAGTTCAAAATAAAGCCCTAGTTCAAACTACCTGTTATTCCTCCTGGAATGAGGTTTAACGGGTAGTTCGATTACTGGTTAGACGCGGGCAGTTAGTCCGGACTTGTAAATTTCAAAAATGGCGACCGGCCGGGAAGATGCAACTCAAGCGTGGGATATTTAAATCCCGGGCTTGATTTGCAACTTCGAATGCCTACCTTAGCCTCCCTAGTTCGAACGAGGGGGCTAGTGTAGACATACCCTAAGGTGCCACAGGGCTACTTGTTGTTTTTAAAGTTACAGATTAACATGGCTACTCCTCTGAGACTGACAAGATTAATATTATTCTAGAATATCAGTTTCATGTTGCTTTACACATGCCATCGCTTTGGATCAGACTGTGCAAAGTATCAATAAATGTGCTTATTGCTAACATATAGTTACCAGTATTGAGCGTCTTCTTGATAACTGAGGCCACTTGTCCTTTAAGCACAGAATTTAATAACTTAACTATCAGGACCAAACAGGTGCACAAAATTATCAGTGACGCTGCAAGCAGTATGAGACCGACAGCAAGATCAGCAAGATTTGTTTCTGCAAAAAGATGGTGGCCTGAAAGGGAAAAAGAAAGTCAAAGTCAGACTAGCATTTTATTTCTCTCACTATGCCATACTACTATTCTTCCATTAATAGTCAGATGCAATGGCACCAAATGTACATACTGCTCTGCAAGACAGAGGTAGCACAAAAAAAGAAAATCCTTGCATCAAGGCTGCCCAGTATGATGTTCTAGAGGGGTGTCTGGATTGTCTATGCACAGGGCTATAAGATATATAGCATCCCCACACAAAGGAGCAGACAGAGATGGAAACATGCCTATGTAAGGGTAGTGTTCCTCCATACAACTTTGTGCAAAGGAGTGTTATGCAAAGGGAAGAACAAATCTTAGTCTGTTGTTCATGGAAGGATGAATGTCTCCCCCCTTCTCTGACAAGTGGTATTCACATGCTAATAAAAATGATTAATACAAATATCCATGAAACAATTCTTGTAAAGTAAACATCTGACCACATCACTGAACTACTAAGAGGTGACATGACGTAGGCTACCTTCTGATTTTAGGACTTTTAGCTACAGACCTGTAGGATCTGCATGATGTGATGCTACCAAAAGGAAATTGGTCAGTAACTCCAGAGAAGCTGGTCTGAATGTATGCAGCAGTCAAACTTCATTGTAAAATGATATTCACTTTACACAAAATAAGTGTGTAAAGTGTATCTCAAATCATAACTCACAAATAAGTGGCAATTCACTTACATTTTTTAATATTTTCTGAGAGAGACACATTTTTGATGGTCCAGGTCAAATTTCCATCAGTCCAGCAAAAGGCAGGAGATGTGCAGTTTTCTGAGGCCGGAACTGTGACATTCTGCAGCGTCTAGATATTGCCATACAAAACAGACAATTCAAGCAACTACCTCCTTTGCATTAAAACTAACATGTATGGGTTTTCAAAAACTGCAACAAAGCATTCCTGTAATAAATGAAGAGGGGTGAACAGGGCTAACTTCACTCTATAGCTAATACATCCCACCAATGAGGAGGCAGATTTGCTTATATTTTGGAAAAAGGCTGAGGTTTCATTCCATGGAGACAGTGGAATTCCTTGCCAATTCCTATCCATCTCACTGTTCTTTTAATCAAAGAAACTTATCTCCTGTGTGAGTCTTTAACTGAAATTAATGGAGGCAGTGCTGCCTAGTGGGTAGAACACTTGACTACGACTCAGGACACCTGCTTCTATCACTACCTGTTCTTGTTGGGTGCTTGGGCAAGTCACATCACTGCCCTGTGACTCAGCTTTCCCATCTGTAAAATGGAGAGAATGTGACTGATGTCCTTTGTAAAGCACTTTGGTATAATGAAAAGTGCTATAGAAGAGCTAATTACCCTCAGTGTTGACCAGTGTTTCCTGTAAGCTGGGCACTTGTGCAGCCACTCAGGAGAGATTCAAATGCTGCTCACCTGATTAGCAGCGCGCCCACATCTAGGCTTTTTGTTTCTACTGGTGGTGCACATTTGCACATGCCTTAGTACACATAAAATGTATTCTGCATATGGATGGAAAAAATCTGCACATGGATAGAAAAAAGTAGAGGGAATATTGGTGGGGACCTGTACTGACCCCTCATCTGTTCACCAAACATAACCTCCCCCATGAGGAGGGAAGTGACCAAACCAGACTCTTGCTGTGCTAGCTGTGATTTGCCAAGCCAGCCATGTTCTGCTATTTCAAAGCAGTTGCCTCAAGGCAAAGAGGAGACCAAACTCCACTCAAGAGGATGCAAATAAGATTCTTCATTCATGCTGGCTGACACACACAGACCCTGACTCTTCAGTTCACAGAGAAACAGTGCGATATAAAAGGGGGTCTTTAAATCCTCAACAGAGAAAGGAACTCTGGAGTAGATTGTTTGCTGAACTGTACAGCCCAAGAAAGTGGTTACCAACCAGTTAGACTTTGAACTCCAGCTCTCTGAGCCATTAACATTGTGACTGTCATCAGCCCACTGACAAGTTTTTCCTTTTCTGTTATCTCTTACTTTGTTGCCCTCACACCTGGTGCCAGGTTGTCTGTGTCTATGCTTAATAGGGGCCTATTGAAACCATTTTCTAACATTGTTTCAATTTTCCAGTTGAACAATATTTTGGAATGACAATGCTGTAGGCATTCTACACATTCTCATCTCCTTTCCTTTCCTTCATATGACATCAGAAACACCAGAGTAAGCTTACAATTTAATAAACACAACAGAACTAATTGTCTAGGATTCACAGAAATCTCTGAAACCAGGGGATATGGCAAATAAAGTAGGAAATCTTACATGGTTTTATGAATCTCCTGCAAATTCAGCAGCAATTACTGCCCATTTATTGCCAAATGTTACTTATAGTATTATTACCACACAACCTCTTAATGGCATCTAAAACAGCCACTAATAGCATTTAATATTAGAGCCAAGCAATATGCTGCTTTTGTAGGACCTGATTCCAATATTTTTACATCTAGCCTTTAGAATATATGTCTAGAGAGGTGTGCGTGGTCACCTTTTTAATGGACCAGGACCTGCTCCTCTTACTCACACTGAGTACCTAATTCTGAAAGTAGTCTCATTGAAACCTACTAAGGTATTTCTCAAAGGAATTAAGGCTGGAAGAATCAGATCAAGCAAACTTATACTGGGTCATATTCCTTGAAATAAAAGGGACTTGTATACAAAAATCAAAGGGGAAATATGACCTATTGATTTTTATGACAGAGGTCATGCTGTGCAGAAGGGACTACACAGAATCTGGTGTCATGCCGACAGATAGAATCGAAAATGGAACCTCTGGAGTTTGGTGTATGAACCTTTACAGCTTGAGCAAAAAGCCAGCTGCCTCTCAGCTAAGGTCAAAGAGCAAACTCATTCTTGCTCTCTTTAAGTGGTCTAAGTATCACTAGATGGGACAGTGAACCACACCCAGTAGGTATGTGGATTATACTACATGATTCATATCTTAAGAACTATTTTTAGCACTTTTTGTACTGGTGAAAGATGGTAAATTGATAGCCGTGCTGAGTGATATTTTATATTTCTCGACAGAACAGGCTCTATATGGGCAGGGGCAGTATAAGCTTCCCACTCTGCCCTACCAATATACCTCGACCCTGACCTGTCCCCATAGCAATTAAATATTTGGCCTGTCTACTGAGACTGCATAATGTTGCCAAATACAATCCTTGTAAATTCAATCTGCAGCAAGTTAAGTCACATATCAGCAATGATCATTTGGCAGAAACAATCTAGAAGGTAACAAATGCTGATCTGCAGGGCACTATTCTGTTCAGAAGAAATGCTGTCAAAACCACTGGTTCCCAAAGCTGTGGAGCTGCCAAGGAGGTGGACAGGTGACACCCATTCAGTTTCGCACAAGGATTTAAAGTCACAAGTCCACTGGCTAACTTTAGGAAGGGGACACAGCTGTCAGGTTGCAAGACATCGCTAAAAGCTTTGATACAGTTATTAGAAGTTGTCAGAAAAGCACCAATAATATATGACATGAGACCTCCTTTTCAAAAAGTGTACAGCATTGTTCAATGTAAGACAAATGAGGTCTAATTCAGACTTGGTACAGTACATCTCCTTTGACTACAGTAAAAGTAAAAGGGTACTAAATTGTGTTAATTTTTTTTATGCAACAAATAAAACTAATTTCAAAATTCACAAACTGTATATACTAGAATACTCTGCCCAACTACTGTAAATAACATTAGTAGTAATAGAAAAATATCCTTTTGTGCTGGGATGTATTTATAATACTGTCACACTATTTCCTTCTGAACAAAGGAGTTATAGTTAGATGTCAATATCCTTCCTTAAGAGCACCAAAGCCATTTTAACGCAACACTTACCACATTCGTTTTAGTTTTGCACCAAGTCTTTATCAGGGATTTGTTTTTTGCTCCTTCCTCATTTGTAGCAATTGCATTTATTACTGATTTATCAAGCTAAAAAGAAAGAAACAAATAGAGGAGTAATTCCAGTCTGTAGTTTGGAACTGCAAAGTTAGAGCCAAGCCTGCTCAACTAACTCCTCCAAGTAGCCCCACTGAAATCAATAGGTCTGCTAACATGAGTAAAGCAAACATGATCTTGAAGGTGTTCTGAACTTCTGCCCAACAAGAAATATAAACAGGGGTTTAGCAACTAAGAAAATAATCTTCCTTTTTCCTTTGTATATATTTATAAAAACTTGAAACATGCATTTTTTGCGTGATGTACCTGCCTAAATCATCAAGCAGCTATCCCTCACTTAAACAAATGCACATAGTTGATTTACTATAAAATCAGCTTTTCCATGTTTCAATCTCCCTGTTCATTCTGTTTTCCACCAATCCTCTAGCCCCTAAGCAACCCTCTGAGTGCCTGGCTGGGGCATCAGCATTAAACTGACAATTAAAAACAATATTTAGAAACTTGAAACATGAATCTAATACATAAGATTTCATGAAATGTGAGCCAAAAATTTTAAAAAAACAAATGAGTGTTTCTGTAATGAATGCAGTAATACTAACAGACAGCCCAGCAGCTTTAGAGTAGTTTGGCAAACTGAAGATGAATCAAGCAAGTGGCCTCATTAAAGTGAGAGCTTACCTGGATGATAAGCTTTGTAAAAGGATCTGTGATGACTTTTAGCAGCTCAGGGGCATCTTCACCACTCTCAAGATTAAAGGATTCAACTATAACATTAGTAAGGCGATAAAGATAACCAGACACTACTTCAAGGGGCAGCAACACAAACACTGAGAGCCAGTTAAAGAAATCATGAACTGTAGCTCCAGCAAAAGCCCTGCAAAAAGAGATGCAAAAAAGATGATTTGCTTTTTGAGTAACACATGTATAGCATAGATAAGGGACCTAATTGTATGGTATAGAAAGGAGCCTGCACTGAAGCAGGAATAATTTCATTTTTTAGGGCCACAGGCTGCCATCCTGTCTCACAGGCTATATCTACACTGCCGGGGGGGGGGGGGGGAGAGGGGGGGGAAGGAGTTGGCAGAAAATATGCAAATCACACTCTCATTTGCATATCTTCTGCTCACCCTTTTTGCAAAACAGCCCAGTGTAGATGGGGCCATTTGTTGGAAACAAACCCTTTTTAACAAAATCCCTTATTCCTCAAAAAATGAGGTTTACAGGATCTTGCGAAAAAGGGGTGTTTTTTTTACAACAAATGGCCCCATCTACACTGGGCTTTTCATCAGCAAAACCTCTTCCACAAAAAAGATCAGTAGAAGATATGCAAATGAGAGCACAATTTACATACCTTCTGCCGAAACCCCCCCCCCTCCGCCCCCCGCCCCCCGCCGGCAGTGTAGACATAGCCATGGTGCATAGAACCTTACATCCAATTGACAAACTGGCCCAGTGAGATTAAAACATCAGACAAATAAAGCAATTATCCTACAAAGAGAGGTGTCATGTCTTGACTGAGCTATTTCCAGTGAAAGCCATGATATAATCTCCATTAGCTTGTTCCATCACTAACTGTAGTTATATAGTTTTCCCCTAATATTTAACCTGACTTTTTCTTGCTGCAGCTAAAACATTCCCTCTGCCTCACATCCTCACTGACTAGCATGAATTATTTATCTCTATCCTCTTTATAGCAACCTTGTACATATTTGTAAACAATTACAGGCAGTCCCCGGGTTACATGGATCCAACTTACATCGGATCCCTACTTACAAACGGGGTGAGGCAACCCTGCACTAGCTGCTTCCCCCCAGCAGACCAGGGAGATGCGGAGTGGCTTTTCTCAGCAGACACCTCAGCTTGAGAATAAAGGACTGAGGGAAGTGAGGTGTGGGAGAATAAAACAGACCTCTGGAGAAATGTTTGGCTAGAGTTTCCGCTACAATATGTACCAGTTCCGACTTACATACAGATTCAACTTAAGAACAAACCTACAGTCCCTATCTTGTACGTAACCCGGGGACTGCCTGTACTGTAGATCTCCCTTCCAGCTTTCTTTTCTGCAGACTGAAGATTCACAGTTCTTTCTTTTCACAGTCGTCTTTTCCAAATCTCACTTATTCGCTTTTTAATTCTCTTCAGTTTGTCTATATATGTTTTAACATGTAGTTCCTTAAACTAAAAACCTAATGCTGTGAGCCAAGGAAACGTCTTCAAAATGCCAATTTTTGATACATTAGCTTTGCAACATTACTTGAGTATACAGTACTTGTGGAAGTTGGAACATTTGAACTGGACTATGGAAATGACATGCAGTCACATAGTATTATTTTAACTGCTAGTAGACACTTGCCATTTTTTATTTGAAATATGACTGTATTGATGCATTTCAGCCCCCACAAGCATGATGTGAACAATGCAAGTTATAAATAGATAGATATGATTATTAATAATTATATTACAAAGCAACTTTTTTCTTTTTACCTTAGTAATTAAAATAACTCCCTTCTATGCATTATTTAGTTCTAACAAAAAAATTGGCACATAATTTGTATGTTATTGATAAAGATTGATAAGCTTCAGAGGGACAACAAACACACTATGTTTCAGTTAAATTTAGTTCACACATCTGGTTACATGCACATATTTGTTGTTATGTTGACAAGGTTGCAAAGTCTCACTCCCATTCCATTTTTACTACCCTCTATTAGTAAGCTAGCAATGTACCTTTGTAGTGTCAAGTTAGTAATTCAGAAACTGGTAATGGATATAGTCAGTTGTTAGAGTGTTCCGCTTCCCAATCTTACCCTATTCTTACCTACTGTGGAATTGACAGATGTTCGGAAAAATCATATTGAGAGTAAACAACAAATGGAAAACATTTTATTTCATATCAGAGGGGTATCCATGTTAGTCTGGATCTGCAAAAGTGATGAGGAGTCCTGTGGCACCTTATAGACTAACAGATTTATTGAAGCATAAGCTTTCGTGGGCAAAGACCCACTTCGTCAGATGCATGTAGTGGAAATTCCAAGGGCAGGTATAACTATACAGGGATAAGAAAAGAGTACCAATCAAGAGTAAGGTTGGAGATAAGGAGTTCAATTCAGTCAGGGCGGATGAGGCCCACTTCTAGCAACTCATGTGGAGATGTGAACACCAAGAGAGGAGAAACTGCTTTTGTATTTGGCTATCCATTCACAGTCTTTGTTTAATCCTAAACAGATGGTGTCAAGTTTTCAGATGAACTGTAGCTCAGCAGTTTTTCTTTGAAGTCTGGTCTTGAAGTTTTTTTGTTGCAGGATGGCTACCTTTAAATCTGCTACTGTGTGTCCAGGAGATTGACGTGTCTGCCAGCAATGCCCCTCTGCCATATACGTCGGCCAACTTGAACAGTCCCTACGTAAGAGAATAAATGGACACAAATCAGATATCAGGAATGGTAATGTACAAAAACCTAACCCTCGTGGGATGAGGTTTACCAGAGCCATGTAGTTTAGACGTACCCTTGGTGTACACACCTCCACATGAGCTGCTAGAAGTGGGCCCTCCCTGACTGAATTGACCTCCTGATCTCCTGCCTTACTCTTGATTGGTACTCTTTTCTTATGCCTGTATTTATACCTGCCCCTGGAATTTCCACTACATGCATCTGACAAAGTGGGTCTTTGCCCAGGAAAGCTTATGCTCCAATAAATCTGTTAGTCTATAAGGTGCCACAGGACCCTTCGTCATTTTATTTTGTGTAACATTAACCTCTTCTCTGCAAAGTTTTTCTTTGCCTGTTACAGAGATATGGTGAAATATGAATAAAAAACAGGCACTCTTCAAATTCCACTGATTAGAAAGATTCTGCTAGTTCCAGTGACATTCCTTATCTTTAAAAATGAGGGTTCTTTTAAGCAAGAGTAGAATTTCTTAGAACCACTATGCATCTTTTCAGATGTATTTTCAATTAGACTACATTAAGTCTAGGTTGTACTGTACTTTGTAGTGGCATAGAGCTCATGAACAAAGGCAGCATGGAACTTACTGTACTACCAAAGCTGACAGCTTTATGAAGCAGAAAGCTACAGAATTGCCAAGTAATTATATATGATGACTAAGCAGGAGGGAGCCTATTGAGGTCAATCACAAAATTTCCCTGGATTTAAGTGAGGCAGGATTGCATATATTTTTTCATGGCTGTGGACTAAATGTAAACTTATTTTAATTAGTTTATAGCAAATTATACAACTGAAACTGCACAATAACTCCTCATTCAATGTAGCTTTAGAAATGTGCTTTCACCTTTCCAAATTATAACACAGCCCTCTGGACAATTAAACTGTAAAGTGGCTACTGTGATGATAACATAAAAGAAAGCCTACCAGAGACATTGAAAATAGGCTCTTAAGGACTAACACACAATACCTTCTAAATTCATTCCTGTCTCCAGCTTGCATAAGTGCCACAATTGTGTTTGTGACGGAGGTACCAATGTTTGCCCCCATTATGATAGGAATAGCAGCCTTTACAGTCAGCACTATAAAGCAAAAAAGGAGCATTAGGAAAAAATCAAATCCTTGGCAAACATACATTTGACCTAATCATACTTTAACTGAAATCAAGGCGATGTTTGCCATTGACTTCAGTGAAATCAGGATTTGTCCTGTAAAGTAAGTAACTGTATAATATAAACAAGTTTATTTTATCAAAGCACCTTGAGAATGTACTAACTGATTAATATAATTACTCAAAGGTCATGTTCTACATCTGCAGCATACTGGTTTTCTGCCACTTCCACAAGATATAAAAGTAATAGACTGTGATAAAGTGTCTTATCCTATGCATTATCCTACATGCAGATACCACAGAACTAAGTCACAGAAGGAAATCAGTTACAATAACTTTGCTGTTAGAATGCAGTACGCAAGTGCTGCTCAAGTGAACACATTAAGGGTATGTCTACCCTCCAGAGTTTTTTCAGAAAAATGGCTGTTTCCGAAAAACTTCAAGTATGTCCACACTGCAATTGCATTCTTTCGAAAGAAAATCAAAAGAACAGAGGGGTTTTTCCGGCATTGGTAATCCTCTTTCTACAAGAAAGGAGACTTTTTCCGAAAGAGCTCTTACAAAAAAAAGGAATGTGTGGGTGGGAAAGAGGGAGTTCTTTTGGAAGAAGAGGAAAGAGGAAAAAGCACTGGTGCCCTAGTGGCCACTCTGTCCATAGTAATCACAGTTTAAATGTGAGATAGTGTCCATTCAGTGTTGATGCTATCTTTTGAAAAAGCAGATCACTTTTTTTATGAGTTTTGGCAGTGTGGATGCATTCTTTTGGAAACGTTTTTTCCAAAAGATCTTTTCCGGAAAAGCTTCTTCCAAAAGAAGCCTGCAGTCTAGATGTAACTTAAGCGTCAGTGTGCCAAATAGAGTTTACTAGGGCAGTGGTCCCCAACCTTTGGAGGTTGCCGGGTGCCAGGGGGCATGGCTGTTCGCCCGCCGGGTGCCAGGGGGTGGGGCCCCCCCATATCCATGCGCCTGGGGGTGGGGCCACCTCCAAGAGCCGCGCGCCCGGGGGCATGGCCCCCCCAAGGGCCGCGCACCCGGGGCCGGTATCCCCCCCCAAGTGCCACGCGCCAGGGGCCAGTGCTCCCCCAAGTGCCGCGTGCCCCCCCCTCCAAGCACCGCGCGCCTGAGGCCGGAGCTCCCCCCCAAGGGCCACGCGCCTT